CCCAGGCTGGTTTTGACCCACAATCCTAAGACCTCAACCCTTCCTCCTTTACTCCCAAGCAGCTAGGATAACAGACATGAGTACCAGCGTCCAGCTTGTTTGTTTTCTTAGCTAGGTTCTTGTACATATGCCTGGGCTGACTTTGGATCATGGTCCTCCTATCTCTTGTCTCCTGTGTAGTTGGGATTATAGGTGTGCACCACTACTGCTAGTTTCCTGGCAGCTTTATCATCATTGCTATCATCAGCACCTTCATTGTCCTTTGACGTCTTCTGTTTTAAAAAGATTGTGTACAAAGCCCTCAGTTAGCAGATGTCAGGTGACAGGTGTTCCAGTGGAGGAGCTGGGAGGATGCAGGTGATATGTGCCAGCAGGTTCTCTCTGGCCTGTCCCAGGAGGGACAGGTGACCACTAAAGCTGTTTCCTGAAGGTGGCTTCTTATGGAAGGGTCTTGGGATATCTTCCCCAAGTGCCTTACCTTGTTCCTTTGACTGAGAGAGATGCAGGGAAGGGAAGAAATTAGAGATGCTTACCTTATGTTTATCGCTTGCATTGATTCCAATGAGGCCTTTCGTATCCTGAATACATCACTAGACTTTGCCCAGAGACGTATCATAAAATATGATTTTGGAGACAACCTTAATGGGCCATGATTAGAACATTATTATTAAACAAAGGATGAACTGCTTAAGCCAAGATGGCTTTTTTTCTTTCTTTTTAAATTGAATGAAAGTTGAGCAGACTCTTATTTCAGCAGTTTCCAATGTCAGAATTCCCACAGCCCCATTTGATTGCCATTTGTTGAAAAGCTTAATGTTTTTGCAGGCAATTCATAATTTCCACATTGGATAACTAGAGAGGATGAGGGGAGAAGCCCAGTGTTTTCATAGCGGGATGGTGGGAATTCTTCCTTCCCTTCCCCAAAGGATCTAAACCTGAATGCCAACTGTTGGGAGAAAATGTGACATCGTGTTCCAACCCTTCTGTAAATCTGAGATGCCTCCTCTTTCAGGTCCTCCTTTAGGGTCCCACAGAATAGAATTTCCTGCTTTTTAATGTCTCCAGGAAGGAAAAAGATTTTCCTTTAGGCTGTAATAGTACCTCCTTTCCTTTTTGTTCCCTTTATGTATTTATTTTCTCTATTAATAAGGACCAATTGTAGAAGATAAAGGAAATGGGGGCACCCATCATTTTGGGAGGAGGGTAATAACATCCTTAAAAAAAAAAAAAAGAAATCCTGACATACTATTTAACATTCGCCAAAGGCACTCCATCTGCCCAAATGCCAGTTAGAAGTCAAGGGCTGGACACAGCTGAGCTTTGCTCTGTGGCATCGGGTTGCACTGGGATTGGGTGTTTGGGGCTGCCATGGCCGGGTCTCTGCCAGTCTGCGGGGTTGTGGCTGTCTTCTAGCATCTGGATTCGGTTAGTTCTCTCTGGGCAGCAGGGCCGAGTCTCATTTCCTCCAACCAGTAATGTTATATAGGCAGCGATCCTGGGCTGCCCTGACATAATTGAAAATTATGTGCATCGTAGGCTCAGAGCACCAAAATGTAGGCTCATAAAAATATGTGATGCAGGTAGCTTATAGAGATTGGATATGGCTCACAAGGAAGCTTTTATGTAGACTGAGAATCATTAAGTCCCCACGTGACTATTGCATTATGGGTATGACAGTTCTTGTGTGGGGAACGCAGTGCAGGTCTGTCACCTTTAAACCAAACCGAACTGTCCCAATTCTGGAACTGGACGTGACCAAATCCATTTTGCAGATGTCTGAAGATGAAAACTTTACCCGTTATGGAACTCTCTCCATGGAACCAGCGCAAGGGGTGGGTGTGTCTTGTAGGGTTGGCAGTTTTGCTTGCTTGTGGGTTTTTGTGAGTTGCAGAGGTGAATGTTGCTAGGTATCCATTTTGGTTGGCCTCAAGGAAATGACTTTACTGAGTGGTTCTGACCAATGCAGCCCCTGTAGTTATGTGGCAAGTGGGAATGGGAAGTCAGGATGAGACAGGGCAAAACAGATTCCCAGAGCCCTCTGGCTTGAGTTACAGGGCTGAAGGAGACTTTGGAAACATTTATTTCAATTTTTTTTTTTTTTTGAGTGTTGGCACTCAAATTCAGAGCCGAGATGCTGTCCCTTAGCTTTTGTGTTCAAGGCTGATGCTCTACCACTTAAGCCACAGCTCTACTTCTAGCTCTTTGGTGGTTAATTGAAGATAAATAAAAGTCTCACAGACTTTCCTGCCTCAGCTGGCTTTGAACTGTGATCTTGGGAATCTTAGCTTCTTGAGTAGCTAGGATTACAGGTGTGAGCCACTGGTGCCTGGCCTATTTCAGTGGTTTTAAACTTAGGGTGATATCTGGCCCCCAAACACACTGGTATTTGGAAATGGGCTGTTAGGAGTTGACTAGAAGTTGGTGCTGGGATTTACTGTGTGAAATCCTCCCTCTCTTCCATCACAGGTAGGAGTTTCCTATTTACTCAAGACAACTAGACAGATAGAGGACTTTGGAACAAGGTTTTGCCAAATTACCCACAGAGCCAGAACCAGTAACCAGGTTTCTTCCCCATAGGTGAAAGCTCCTAAGTTATAGAAGATGCTCCTCCATTGTATAGAACTGGGTTGGAAAAACTGACTGCACTTGGGCTAAGACTGTCCAGTGTGAAGGACAACTGAGCTTGGTTTTAGTTGGCCAAACAAATGCATCATCAATGAATTATGGCTGTGGAATGGCTTTGGTTCTGTTTCTCATTGGGTTGGTGCAAACTTTTCCCCCCTCTTTCCTTACTTTTCCCCTTCCTTCCTTCCTTCCTTCCTTCCTTCCTTCCTTCCTTCCTTCCTTCCTTCCTTCCTTCCTTCCTTCCTTCCCTCCCTCCCTTCCTCCCTCCCTCCCTCTCTCCCTTCTTTCCCTCCCTCCCTCCTTCCCTCTTTCTCTTATTTTCTGAGTCAGTTGTGAGGCTTGAACCCAGGGCCTGATTTTTATGCTCAAGGCTAGTGTGCTACCACTTTGAGTTAACAGCACCAGTTCCAATTTTCTGATGGTTAATTGAAGATAAGAGTTTCATGGACTTTCCTCCTGAGTAGCTAGGATGAACCACTGGCACCTGACCCAAAGTTTTCTTTTTGGACTATCCTTTGCTGTCCTTACTCTTTGTATTGAATCTTTCCTGACTTACCAAGATAGACTCCTTGGTATTGCCTGGAACCAGCTTCTCTATATTGTGCCCTGACTTGGGTGTAAGGGTGAGTGCGTGTGTGTGTGTGTGTGTGTGTGTGTGTGTGTGTGTGTGTAGGTTTTCTCATGCATGACTGAGGGGTATTTCCTTATGCATGGCAAGGAGATTGGGCACAACACAGTGTGAACACATCAGTGATTGTTGAATGGAAGTTTCTATAGAGTGACTGTTACAACTGGCCAGTTACTTTACTTTGGGTGTCAGAAGTGATCAAGGCTGTTCCTGTACACTCTGGAAGCATTAACTGATGCAGGAATCAATTGACCTCTAGAACCTTGAAGGATGGTATTGACATCCTTATAAACATCCTTCCTTAGCTTTGTTCAGTTGTCTGAATTTTTCTGAGTGAAACTATTGTTAGCAAGAAAAGTCAAATGCCTGGGAATTACTTGGTATGCTGAGTTTCTCAGGGTCTGGGCAGCCATTTCACTTCCTGTTCCCTTATCTGCTAAACAGAACAGGGAATGGGATTAATTGGTAATTGATTGCTTCAGCCCCTTTGAGAGTAGAAGTATCACTTTCAGTAAAAGTAGCTAGCCAGTGGGCATGTATTTATCTCCTACCTCAGAAAAAAGATAAGGAAAGACATAATTGGCTTTTTTCTTCCTCCTGTAACAATTCCAGGATTTGAATTCAGGGCTTTGGCACTCTTGCTAGGTTTTCTTGCTCATGGCTGGCATACTACCACTTGAGCCATATCTCCAGTCCATCCATACCTTTCATTTTTATTTTGGTGATAAACCTGTGCATAGTCAAGTATTTCTCTGGCCTTTTTATCCCTTTGGTGGTAGTGAGGTTTGCACTCAGGGCTTCAGGCTTTCTAAACCATCATTCTATCGCTTGAGCCACACATTCAATCCTAAGAGTTTTTCTCTGGTCCTTTCAGATGGCTGTGTAAGTCAAATTGTGCCATGCCCTGTGTGTGCATCTGCTGCCAAGAAATATTTTTGTCTGATGAGCTTTTAGATTGGTTATGGAATGACATGCTTGTTTTCGTTGAAGCAGCTTCTAATACATGAAGGACTTGGCTTCCTTTAGAATGAAGAGTGCGTGGCAGGTACTTGGAGTCAGAGATCTGGAAGATCAAGGTGTAAAGCCACCCTGGGCAAAAAATGAACAGAATGCACATCTTAACCAAGAGCATAGGTGTGGTAGTTTGCATCTGTGTAATGCTAGCTACTCGGGAGGCATAGGAAAGAGGATTAAGTACAAAGGCTAGCTTGGACAAAAGTGGGAGATCCTATGTGAAAATTCCTGAGAGCAAAAAAGGACTGGGGTTATGGTTCAGGAATAGCAAGGAGAAGGTCTGAGTAAAACCCCAGTACCACCAAAAACATTCAACATGATAGAATTTTAAAGATAGAGGTGGTTGGAAGATTAGATCTGGAATGGATGGTTCCCTAGGACATTTCTGGCTTGAGATTTGTGTTTGTTACTTACTTCTGAAATTGCTGTATGTTCCCTGTTTTCTTCCCTCTTTCCTGCAATTCCCCCCCCCCCCCGATGAGTGTCAGCAAATGCATTTTTATCTAGAGCTGCCCTGTAGTTTGACTGCAGAAACAAACTCCAGTTACTAATGATGTTTTCTATTTGAACTGAGAGCTCTAAGGCCTTACTGATAGTGCATGAGTTTTCTCTGGTTGTTATTTGCATGCTTTATTAGTCCCGTCCCCGTCCCTCCCCCCCCCCCCCCCCCCCCCCCGTTTCTGATCCATATAATGATTATTCCTTTGCTGAATGTACTGTTTTGATTTTCTAGTATCTTCAGATGAAATGGCCGCTACTTGATGTCCAAGCAGGGAGTCTCCAGAGCAGACAGGCCCTCAAGGATGCTCGCTCTCCATCGCCCGCACACATTGTTGTAAGTACCTTTCCAAAGAGAGGCCAGGCGACCCTTTTAGGAGGAAGCGAAGTGAAGCAGAAAATACCCTGTGATGATACTATGCCTTATTGGTTAGTTCTTTCTTTAACAAAGTTTATTTTGGAATATTCTTGGATGTGATTTTGTATCTATAAGCTACTCATTTTGAGTGATGAGATGCTAGTGATTGTGAACTAGGTGGAAATTTCCTAGGTCTTCCCTCCACCCTTTTCTCCATGCGTTGGGTTAGAATCTAGTCTTGTGGGATCAAGTTCATAGGATACCAATACATCTCCCTGGTTTGGAGAAATAATATCAAAGTGATTGAAAAAAAATGTAACGAGAGAAGAGAGGTTGAAAGGAAAGAATTAGAAATAGGGAGTTGGGAGAGATGGGGGAGAATGTTGTAAGTGGTGATGTTGATCAAGATGCATTGTGCTTGTGAATTGACATGTTGAATTGAAACCTCTTTGTACAGCTTCTTAAAGATAATAATAATACAAAATAGAAATAGGGAGCCCTGGGTTAGAGGAAACCCCTCCCCCCCCCAACCTCAGTGTTTCTTAATGTTTCTGGAAAGTAATATTTGATACTAACATTAGAAAATTTTGTCTGGGCTGGCTGGCGGGTAAACCTGGAGGAGAAATGAACTTAAAATTAAAATACAAAATTAAACTTAATCTGTATAGCCAGAGCTTTGAAAGTATGTGGGATTGACATGGAGAATGCTTGCTTTTAGTACTAAGAGACTACAACATAAAGTATGTGTTGACATATATTTTTAATGCACTTTCTTAGGATTTTGTAGGCTCTGAAAGTTTATAAATTAACCTCTTGAGGAGATAGCTCAGCCTTATTAGAATATTCATTCCCTTCTATGTATTTATATCATGAGCTGGACTTCATATTTTTGCAATAATTAATGAAAGATATATTTTTATAATGAATCTATGACAGGTAGAATTATCCAAAGCAAGAAATAACTCATGCATTTTTTATTTAAGTATCACAAAACGTTACCTCTGTGACTATGTTACTTGTCATTTCTAAAAATTGCCAAGTAATTTTCTTAAGTCAACAAGTCTTCAGATAACATTGTGTCAAATTCCAGGCTTAACTGCCTCCTCCTTTGGTCGCTGGCTGTAATTGAGTATATGTTATTTAATGAGCTGTGCATCTGTTGCATGTGTGTATATTGCAAAATAATTTATTTCTGTAAAACCACATTTTGAGCCCTTTTGTGAAAATGTCTTAACTTCTCATGGTATAAATAAGACATTGTAGGAAGAAGGCTAACATTTGCTAGAAGTTTCCTCCCTGTTCTCCAACTCTACAATTAAGTAGAACCTCATAGTCAAGGATGCATTTGGAGTGTCAAGACTTCAGGGTTAGAGGTGTTCACCTTAGATCATTTGAGGCTCGACCTGATCTCCAAAAAGGAAACTGAGGCCCAGAGATGACTTAAGTGAATTGCCCAAAGTCACGCGCTGAGCTAGTTGCCACAGTGAGGATTTTATCCAGTTCTCTGCTCCTCTCTGGGGCCTTGTGGCATTCTTCTTTTATGCCAGACCTAAGAGGAACTTCGATGGCTGGCTCTGATGACTATAAATTGGATCATCATGAGAAAACTGACAGAGGTGTAAAGAAGCTGCTGGCTTGGGGTACTGACACAGATTTCATCTAGAATTGGATTTCATGTTAAAAAAAAAGCATACAGATTTGAAAACAAGTGTGACATGCTGGAGTCTTACAGGGTAAAGTGAGGAAAACTTGTTGTGTTGCTTTTCCCTCCTCTTCTGGGTTTCCCAATTTTGGCCTCAGGCTTGGAAATTTCTTTCTCTGCTCCTGGAAACGCTCGATGGAACTTTCCCACACGTCTTTCTTTATTTTAGTTTTTTAAGAGACTGACAAAAGATATCACCTTTAGAATCTCTTGGAGGCCATTCTCTCTGAGTGTGGAGAGAAGAGGCAAAGCCTAGAGTGGTTCCAAGTGGACATATCCCCTTCCCCTTGCTTCAGATCTGTAGGCCACACCTGTAGTGTTATTCACCACGCCCCCCCTAGACAAGAGTGAGGAGTTAGTTGTTCATTCTTCCATCCCTCCAAATCTCATAAGAACAGTAGTCACAACTTGGGTCTGAAAAGCCTAGTTTTCTCATGTGGAAATGAATGATTTGGAGGAGATGCTAGAACATTTCTTTCTAGAACCAATGTGGATTTTGGCTAAGGGAACAAAGTAGGGACTTAGGTTCCATTTTCTTTCTTAAGTTCCTTCTCTCCTCCCCCCCCCCCCCCCTCGTGGTTAATCAGACAACATGATTCCACACATATCACCTTTGTGATGAGGACTTGGACTCAAAAGAGCCATACCATCTTGTCTACTTCCCACTGTGGTCCTGGGGACCTAGGAACTAGCCATCGTATAGAGGTTACGTATGGGCTTGTGGAAGAGACTGAGTTTAGGGAGCAGATGAGAAGTTGGGGCAAAACGATGCCACACTTATTGCTTAATTCTCATTTCACTGGACATGGGATAATGTGTTAACCAAAACCAACTTCGCTGTAGCAGGTACAACATGTTTTGTAAAGGAGGATCTTCTGAAATGTAGCTCATGCATTGCTTGTGTCTTTATTTTATAGTTTATCATTGGCCTCATTTAACATTGGCTACTGGGACTGGCTTACGTTCAGCTTTGGCCACAAATGTCCAACTCATCCCCACATACTCATGGCTTCTCTTCCTCCTCCCACTGTGTTTTTCAAATCTGTTAAAATGTTGTCACCTCACAGTGTATCACCAGACATGTTTCAAAATAATCTTCTAAGGATTGCTTCCTTATTTCTCTGAAATGTGGATTTATTGTAACTTTTGAGCCAAACTGTTTCATAATTGTTTCTGATGTTTCACTTTGAAAATAGAGAAGCGTGCAGACTTTGTGGGCAATCACTAGAAACTACAACTACAGCTACAGACAAAATCATTTCTCCCCCATTTGGGGGAGAATTCTCACGTGGGAATTTGAAGCATTTTCTTAGAATATTTTAATATGGCTGAAGTTTTTCATGTAGTTATGTGGGTTACCATGTTATTAAAAATTGATGTATGGAGTAAGTGATCTTAGCAAGTGGATATGAGTTCATCCAATAATAGGTATTTCTTCATCTCTCTATCCATTCATGCATTTCTGGTGCTGGAGATGGAACCCAGGGCCTTGTGTATGCCAGGCAAGCACTCTACCACTGTGCTTTAAGCCCAGCTCTATCTAATGTTTAAAATAAGAAACCCTCCACATTTTAGGTCCTGTGTCTGATAGAGCATCTTGCTTATTATACTCTGGAGATTCCTGATCTGGGTTCAAAGGAGAGAATAAATTCATTCCCTAGAGATGTCTTGATTAGCAGGCGAAAAAGTGAACGTTTACACAAGGCAATAATTTTTTGTGATGATGCCCTCTCTTCCCCACAAATGTATTGATCTTCTCAACATGTCAAAGATGCCAGCTACACAATCCAAGATCTTTCTTTCTCCCCAGATCCATTTTCCCCTCTCTTCCCCCTCCTTTCCTCCTTCCTTCCCTCCCTCCTTTCTCTCTTTTCCCTCCCCCCTCCCCCCTCCCTCCCTCCTTCCCTTCCTTCCTTCCTTCCTTCTTCCCTTCCTCCCTTCCTCCCTTCCTCCCTTCCTCCCTTCCTTCCTTCCTTCCTTCCTTCCTCCCTTCCTTCCTTCCTTCCTTCCTTCCTTCCGTCCCCTTTTCTATTTCTGTTTTCTCTTCCTTTTCTTTCTATGTAGTACTTGGGATTGAAGTCAGAATCTTGGTACTGTCCTTCAGCTCAAGGCTGAAGTTTTACCACTTGAGCCACATCTCTACATCTAGGTGTTTTTTGTTTTTTTGTTTTTTTTTGGAGTGGTTAATTGAAAATAAGAGTCTCATGGACTTTCTTTTTTTTTTTTTTTTTTTTTTTTTTGTTGGTCATGGGGCTTGAACTCTGGGCCTGGGTGCTGTCCCTCAGCTCTTCAGCTCAAGGCGAGCGCTCTACCACTTGAGCTACAGCACCACTTCCGGCTTTCTAGTGGTTTATTGGAGATAGGAGTCTCATGGTCTTTCCTGCCCGGGCTGGCTTTGAACCGCGATTCTCAGATCTCAGCCTCCTGAGTAGGTAGGATTACAGGCGTGAGCCACCGGCGCCTGGCTCTCATGGACTTTCTTGCTTGGGCTGTCTTTGACCAGGATCTTCATATCTCAGCCTCCTGAGTGGTTAGGGTTATTGGCCTGAGCCATCAGTATCTGGCCTCTGTTCCAGTTTCTAATTTATTGTACAACTAGTTCATTTTTCTTTGAGGTATTTTGAGATCTATCTTTTTAATTCTTTGCTCCTGCTTTCCCCTCACACAATGAGGGTTAAGTGGCTGGATTAGGCCGAGTGGTAGTGTTTCTGTGTGCCCTGGCCAGCTGAGGGCCCACCGCCTCCAGCAGTGGTAAGCTATGGGTTAGGAGCTGCTCCCTGGATACCACTCCCGGTGTCTTTGCTATACAAAGACTTTCATTTAACTTCTTTGTACCAGGCAAAAAAAGATTCTGGACCAAAAATGGTGGTATTTTGGTATTGTATGTATCTTACAAACCAGCAAAAGGCTTCAAAAGTTTTTTTTACAATTTTATCTTGGGGGTTTCCTTTTGAAGTCAGTGTGGAATTTTACCTTGGGGTGGATTTCTCGTGTTTCTTCGTCTTGTGTGTTTCGTTGCGTAATGAGCATTGGAGGGTGGGATGAGAAAGCAGGCTGAATCCTGCGGAAGAAAGCCTGCTAGACATTGGTGGAGGTGCAGCTGTTTTTGTTGTGATTGCTTAAATGCTGAAAGAGAGCGGGCAACTTAGGAAATCTTGCATGAGTAGAACTTCAGATCGGGTATCTGTCATCCGTGCTGAGCATTTTCAAGTAAGCTCAGGGCCTGAAGTGCCTTTGAATTTTCTTTCTGTAGGGTTCAAGGGAGCCTATTCATCGT